TAAGTATGCGCCCACGCTCTATGGGAAGAAATCCGTGCAATTTAAAGGGTAGAGTACTAGATCAACGCAGGCAACAGGATTTATACCACAAACTGAAATTGTACAGGCAAGCGCAAACAAACCTGGAAAATCCGTCTTGGACTTCGGAGAGGCGACCAGCGGCACTACTACCTCGGCAGGCTCTGCAGTCGGCGGCCAATCGCGAGCGAGGAGTTCGAAACACTGGTTGTGCGGCCCACCGGAGGGCATTTCAAACCAAACGAGCTTTGAACCGTCGGGACTGAATCTGGGCCAGTGGGCGGCACGATCCGGCCGGTTCAAGCATTGAACTTGAGAAGTTTCTGTGCGGCGAACATTACGAAAATAAACATTGAAGCACCATGATTCCTGAAAACCATGGAAACAATTGGTGTCGCTGTAAGCCTGGTAGAAAGTTAAAGGGGTGCTTCCGCCAAAATCAGGGCCGTAGTAAAATGTATTTAAAAAAAACAAAAGCGGACTGTCGAAGATGAAAATAGGAGGTAGTACGAGATGCTTACAGGTTCGCATACAAGAAAAAGCACCCACCGGCGAAGACTAATATAATGAACCATTCTAACACGTGCTATAGCCTTGAATAAAGCCCTCACCAAAAAAGCTAAACAGAACAGCACATATCACATAGAAGGCACCCAAATGATGCTATAGAAGGTAGGAGGTTAAAATTAGCAGCATTTACCCAATTTTCAAGGAAATTATTACGCTAACTTGGAGTAAATCCTTTGAAACAAATCTTTTCAGACCGAGTCTGAAATTTGATATGAATAGTTGAGTTAGCATTCCGTAAGTTACTACTGTGTAACCTCGTAATATTCAAGAACTGCCAAGGTACAGTTAGTAGTATACACGCCACCGTTTTGGTTCGATTAGTCGCTCCGAGATAAGTGAAGTTGGGATTCGTTGATGAACGTTCACCGGACCACTAACGGGACTCAACTGTCCCGCTCCGCCTTAGGTCTCGTCAGAGGCTCCGACAGCCGTAACAGCTGGTAGTATAGGCAGATATTATTGCCGCCAAAGGCAAGGGAGACTGGAATGGCCATGGTTAGGGTGTTTGACTCTGATCAAAAAGGCCGCGATTGCGGCGCCACTTGGGTCTGGATATGACTGGCTGACGACGGCCAATAGGCCAGAAATGGCCATTCCAGTTTCCTTTGTCTTTGCAGGCAATACTATCTGAAGTTGGGATCTTCTGCCCACTGCATAACAGGCTACCTAATATCACAACAACCGACATTTCAACCCCAGCGAGAGGTTAATAGTTGCAGAAACCAGGTGTACCGAATGGTTCAGGTGACCGTGGGAAGACGCATTCATATCTTACGAGGCAACAGAAGCATGTAGGTTAGAGCAGCCCACAACCATCAGGGTCGTAAAAACACCAAAAAGAGGGAGTAAACTTTAAGATGGGGAAGGACAGGCACGAAAGCACAGTGAAAAACAGCTCGAAAATTTTGGGCATTTGGAATAGAAAGTGCTGCTCTAACTAAAAAATGAGAAGTGGAAAATAAATGCCTACCAAAATTCCAATAATATAATTGTGCTGAGCGCTGATAGCAGTAGATGAGGCCTAAGCGGAATGGATCTTTGTCGTAGGCAACGAACACAAGGCCAGATCCATCGGGTGCCCAGAGAGCGGAATCGAATGCCCAGTGTTTGCAAGCCGGCAACAGGGTTTGAAGCTGGCTATGAAGACAGTCTACTTTCTCGTCTTCAATGTCTAGAATGCACATCACGGGTTGGATAGCAGTGCTGATGCCTTCACCCCAGTTTTCAGGCATGAGGAATGGTGAGGCTTGCGGTTGTTCCTTCGAGTCCTGCAAAATGAGGAGGGTAACAGACATGTTACAGCGACTATGAGTTAAATTTGAGAGCTCTGAATCTTAAGCGCCGCCCTTCTGGAAGGAGTTTTCTTTGGAGAGGTTGCACAAATTGCCCTCGAGGAGTGAAAGTTTGGCTTCCATAGGACCGCCTCCGCATGATGATAATTTGAAAATGACCTACTCCTAACGCTGAAAAAAAAGTCCAGCATTTTTTAAGGCCGAACTGTTAAGTTTAAACACTTTTTAACGATGCTCCATCTTTCGCGGCAGTATATTCTCATTCAAACTCCCCTGCCTTCTTCTAGTCGAGTCTTGTTTTTTCGAAGATTTGTGATGGACGCTGCCCTTATCTGTTGTTTGGCGTGGCAAGGCAGGATGTGACTGGTGGTAGCAGGGGTGGTTAGCAGAGCATCACGCGTGCAACAAAGGGTAGATAAGACGCATACTGACCGAAACAACTCGTGGAGTTTATACAGATAGGCACACCTTGTCACTGTTGCAAGACGTGGCTGTTGTTAGCGGGGGTGGTTAGCATAGCATCACGCGTGCTGCAAAGCGTAGGTGGGCCGTGCACTGACCGAAGAAAACTCATGGAGTTTATACAGATAGGCACACCTTGTCACTGTTGCAAGACGTGGCTGTTGTTAGCAGGGGTGATTAGCAGAGCCAGGGTAAAGTGGACTGTACAGGATAGGCTGGTTTTTTACTAGAGCCGTCACCTACTTCTGTTCACCATGGACAGTCTTCTACTTTAACGCGGGAGAGTTATCACTTGGTCAACTGTAATTGGATTCTGTATTTCGCTCCCTTGTGCTAATCAATTTCGACTTCTAATTACTAAGCGTGAAAAGGACGACTGGTGAGCTAGGGGTCAGACTTTATTGGCTCCACTGTCATGTGGCCTCTACCGAACTTCCATTTAGTTGGGGCTCGATCCCTGATTGGTCTATCGCGCGCGACCACGTGTGTGCGGCACTCGTAGACGGATTGTTTAGCTGGGAGAGAGGTCGACTCTGAATACTCGGTCCCAACGGCACTCCACGCATATTCCTCACTGTAAAAGATCCGACACGTCTGAATATATCACTACGCGCTAAAAGCCATGGCTTGGAGGTCGCCGACTCACAATATGACTTAGACAACGCATGTGCGTGTTTGTAAGTGGATAGACTGGATGTTGGGCAGACTTTATTGGCCTCTACCAAACTTTCACTCAGTTGGGGCTCGAGCCCTGATTGGTCTGTCGCGCGCGACCACGTGTGTGTGTGACACACGTAGACGGGTTGTTTACCGTTGACTGCCACTGTGCCGGAATCCGCCAACAGTCTCCTTAACTCTGTTTTAACACCAGGCTTAGTTGAGTGAAGGACAGATTGCGGTGCGGGCACAGGGTGGACAACATCGCCTTAATAGTCCACTTCAAAGGAAGAAACCATTTTTCGCCTATGCCAAACTCGGTATTTTGAGAAGTTCTGCTGAAAATGTGGCTCCTACTGTCGCTTTCCTTCCTTGGCTTACAGTTCTGGTAGTCCTGCAAGCAACTTGCCTAAGTTAGCAAATGTTTGATTATTTCTCCCACATCAGCGAGAACGCATTTACGAAAACTTATAAATATTAATGAGCAGCATTAGGCATATTAAGTACTTAAAAGAACTATAAGAATTAATAAGTGTTTGTTAAGAAAAATAAAATTTTCTCAATAATTCCCAGCTTGTGGA